AGTAAAGTTGCTCTTATTGTTTTAACATAATGTAACAAATGTATAGCTTGTGGGTTAGGGAAACTATGCCAGAATAGTTACTATCTGTGCAACCCATGTATGTGCACATGCACATTACTGTCATAACTATTTGCATGACATAATCCCCTGGGGAACACACTGGAACAGCCTGTTCTTGACATGTGTCAGAAGCCATTTTCTGATCATTAAATGGAAAAAAAAGAAGCTAGCAGAGATGTTCTTCTAGATTTGAGTCCAACCAAGAAGAAGTGGAGGCAACTGAAATGGAAGTTCCCATGACCATGACTGCCAGCTAGGGAAGGCAGGAGAACAGCAACGCAATTTTAGGAATGCAGACCTCGACGGGCAGCGCCTTGAGAGCCAAGTCACAGAGGGGAAAAAGAGGGTCTTTTGAGAAGAAGAAACATCACTGTAAGGGCACAACAGCAAACTAGTCTGTTGAGGAGGAAATACAGTCCCCTAAAAGAGAGGTTGACTAAATCAACAGGCAAATACAATTTCTACTCCCAGTGTATGAAAATACAACTGAATAGCACAAGCAGGGGGTGGGGGGTGGCACGGCCCATCAGCAAGACCAGTAAGCTATGACTAGCAAGAGATAAAAATGTTACAGAAGGGCACAACAGCAAACTAGTCTGTTGAGGAGGAAATACAGTCCCCTAAAAGAGAGGTTGACTAAATCAACAGGCAAATACAATTTCTACTCCCAGTGTATGAAAATACAACTGAATAGCACAAGCAGGGGGTGGGGGGTGGCACGGCCCATCAGCAAGACCAGTAAGCTATGACTAGCAAGAGATAAAAATGTTACAGAAGTCTATTACTAGCAGAAAAGGGAATGAGCTGGTCCATTACTCACTGGGGAGGGAAAGTAATCAACAGATGATGCTGAGATGTTAAATGCATTTGGGCTTCAAGCCTCACTAAAAAGGAGAACTGCCAAGAGCCGTCTAGTTACAAGGAAAACGAGCAGCAAAAGGACTTACATCCAGTCTAGAAAAAAGACACAACGGGTTCCTGAGGTAGCTCCACCCAGTTCTTTAGGTACTTCGGGGTGACTGTTTTCAGGCTCAACTGATTTGAATCCATCTACCTTGCCTCGCCTGTTGTTTACAGCTTTTCTTTCCTGGCCGGTATTGGTGGGAACAGCCTAACGTGTCTTTTCTAGCAGGAGCTGGTCCACTTTAGGAGTTTCCCACTGCATCCCTGTTATTCCCGCCCACTACTTGTCTTCAACTATTTGCTTCTGCCCCTGGACACTGAATACGGTCCGTGTTTTCTTCCTGAAAGAGTTATGTGACTGGCTCCAGATGAGGATGTGGAACATTTTGGAGGACTGATCAAGCATTCTTGAAACCAGAATTACAAATAAATAAATAAACAATTATTGCTTGATAAATTATATTTGATAAACCAGGTCTCCTGACAGCCCTATTCCAGCTAGGGACAACTGTAAAGAGTGTGACTTGCTACTACGTAGGACATTTTCCTACCTGTGACCTTATCTTCAGTGCAGGTCCGAGTTTCAGCCCCATGTTGTTCAGTAAGTGCTCTTCCGTCAGGAGGGGCAGGGTCTCACCATCAATAGCCTGCTCTCGGAATACCTGGAAGAAACCAGAACACAGGTCCAGGCTTAGAAATGCCAGTGACATATCATCTGATGCGCTCGTCTTGCCATTGCACAGAAGGGCGCTGTAGAAAAGGTAGACTAAGAGCCTCAGCGATGAAGTAGGCCCATATTAAATACACGAGAGGTATATACAATCCTGTATCCAGAGCTAGGAGCCAATATGTAAAAGGAGACACGTGGGAATGTGAATTAGGGCTGGTTGGGCCAGTTTAGATAAAGCTATAATTTTTTTTTTTCTTTTTTTTTTTTTTTTAATGTTGGGATGGGGCATGAAGTTGTTTTCCCTGGGGAATGTCCCCAGGTTTAGCAACCAAAACAGCTGACCGAAGTGCAACGTTATGAGTAAGCCCAGCTGATGGCGTATGATAGCAGATTTGAGAAAGAAGAGTGACACGCCCAGGGGCCCTATCCCAACTCCAAAAAAAGGGCAGAAGACATAGGAGGAAAGATATAAGAATCTCAATTTTGGGAAATCCTAGCTCACTCACACTTGTGTGGATATTTGGAAAAAGCTGACCCAGTAGACTTCAAAAGTATTTGCAGTCTTCAGTGAGGCATATGCAGTTGAGAAGGAGGAACTTGCTTCTTCATGCATTTCCTTCTCAAAGCTGCTAATTTTCAAAACAGTCTCCAGGCAAAATACATAAACAGATCTGTGGAGCACATTCTGCAGCTTAGATGGATTCATGTGCAACACTCTGTTTTGCACTCTTTCTGGTTTTTTTTTCAGTCTCTCTTCCTCCTTTGCCTGCCATGTATTACAACCATTCCTAGAAGGTGCGAGCAGGCTGCAGAATGCATTCCGTCGTGCTGTTTGGCAGTGACTCCTGATAACCCAGAACACCAACTGGGCTCAGGGAGGATGATCCCTCCTCCCCGGTCTGTTTTAGCACTAGGCCCTTTCTTTTTCCCCACCACTTCTAGCAACATGGACTAATAAATATCGCAGTGCCGCTGTATTGACTGAGGTAGCCAAGCGGTACCACTAATCGTGGCATGATCCTACTGCGTCAACTGCACTGGCCTTTCAGGCAGTTTCCATTAACAATACAGCAAGTCTCTTACCCCTCTCCCTGTTAGCTGTGTGGTGCAGAGCCTGGTGATGTGCATACATAGAATCACAGAAATGACAGCAGGGCTAGTACAGTCTTATAAAAATGGCAGTTTCATATGAACACATTCTAATACACCCAGCCATGCAAAACTACACCATTTTAACATGTTCTTAAGGACAGAAAAAACCACTTTGTTTTGCCTCTATCTATTTCAAATGACAGGGTCATGCAAGAGTGTTCCATCTGCTATGTACTGTGTTACAAAGGTTAAGGTCTGGATACGTGGTCTTATTGCTCCATTCTTCATATATAGAGCAGGGCTACACTTACACCAGTCTCCCCCGGGTGTTCATTCTGGACGTACAGGCTCAATACTTCAAGAGTAAACTGCCATCATCTGGTAATTTAGCCAGCAGGTTCCCCTTGGTTCTGTGAGATACGTCGGTCAGATGCCTGGTTTCTCTTACTAAGCCACACCTCCACTCCATAGCATTTTTTTTCACACCCCAGCTCATACGCTCGCCCAAATGAACTGTCTACAGGCCTAATCCTGCTGTCTCTCCATGCAGTGGCTTAGGCATAGCATTATTATTACTAAACACTATAGCAAGGGAGGGGGGTTCAATCTACTCTAATTGCTTCTTGTTCAGCAGCAGACCGTAGCCCAGAGCCATCCCTTTGGAAAGTGGCAGTGGCTGTTAGAGCCAAGGCAGCTGAGCTGTTGCAAGTGTTTTTTTATTGCTGGGCTCCACCAGCAAAGCTGCTCATGACTGTGGCATGTGTTTCTGCTCTTTGACCTAGCAAAACTTACTATACCGATTTCTTTCCCTTCCTCTGAAGCCAATGTGGCTGGGAGCCAAAAGCCTCCCTTCACTCGGCACTAAACCCCCCCACAAAAAGCCTTAACTTGAGAAAAGCATCCCCCTTGGGTGTCCCACAGGTCTCGATCCACTGCAGGGACAAAGCTGAATATTGTCAAGGGCTGAAATCAGGCACGGCAACTTTTGTTTTTGCTGAAGTTTTCTTGTTTGTCTGAAACATGTTTCTAAATGCGCAGCATACCACCAAACTCTTGCTGGGTTTTCCTGGCAGGAGAAGCCTGCAGACCAGTGCCAGACCTCCCCGGCAGCTGTGGTTTTGGAGAAGAGAACACAGACAGCTCTGCAGTTTAGAGCCACGGAGCTGGGTCGCCCTTGATCACTGGCATTTTCACATAGTAAAAAACCTGTTAAACATATAACCATAGTGCATAAAAACACATCATCCCTTAAGCCATGCACCCCCTCCATAATGCAACATAGCAAGGCCACGACAGGAGGCTGTTTACAGCAGCTCCCATTATCGTAAAACATTTTGTTTGCAATGCACTGAGAAGATTGCTGAACCTTTGTCTCAGCAAGCTATTGATTTCTTCCCCACTGGTATACCAGGAGCTGGCATGGAAGGTGTAAATGGATGATCCTTCTGCAAGGTGGTTGCGTTAAAGATTTCTGCACATTTCCTACTGGCCTAATTCAGAAGCTTCCAGGCAACTCTGATCTTCATTCCCCAACACAGGAATGCAGAAAAACTGCAACACCACCAGTGCAAGAGCACACTGTTTGGGGTCGGGGGTAACAGAGGATGCGAGTAGCTGTATATTTTGGGTTTAGAGCCTTTTGCTTGAGCTCTCTTCAACACATACTGCAGCCCACACGTGTACGCTCCTGAACCCATCACCCATCCCCTTACCATCCTCACTAAACGCAGCTCCTGAACTCCCTGCTACACGCGCAGACCTGCTGCTTCTCATTCCCGTAAACACCCATGCATCCACCTTTTTTTAGCCAGCGTCCTTTCCCTCCCTCTCTCCACAATCAGAATCTGACCCTTCTCTCTTCCACACGCCCAGTCACCCTGATCCACTCCCAAGCACAACCCAAATCTGTCGTTCCTCTTAGGGATGTTACATGTACCCCATCTCCGTAACAAGCATTCACTTTCCTAAATACTGCCTCTCGCATGCATGCACAGCTGTTTGCTCCAAAGCAGCACTGGTTTTACAGGTGGTTTTAACAAAGCATGTTGTGATGGGATTAATGTCACGTTTCGGGGGCAAGGAAGGACAGACTTTAGATTGAAAGGACATTATCCCATCACCTGAGCAACTAGGGGGAGGTGTGGGGCAATTCCAGGTTTCTGCTTCCCCATCCCCTCTGGAGGGATGCAAAAGCATGGACCTTTCCCCATGGCACGCTACCAAATAAGCATAACCTAAAGGGAATCACTTCCCTAGAGCCAGATACGCACGCTGCTCTCCTAACAGGCGGCCCCAGCAGAAGCAGGGTGCTGAGCTTTACCTTTCTCAGAATGGCTGGGGGCGGGCATAAGTTCTGGAGAGGACACTCGCCTAACGCAACTAACGGAGGGAGAGACAGCAAGGGCCAAAGAGGCTGGCGGATTTTTAGAAATCAGATTTCGGCCAGCCTGGATGTCGAAGCACAGCTTTGCGCTCCCTAGCTGGCAGTCAGGGAAGCTCCTTCTCTTGAAGAGGCATGTCCAGAAAGCTCGACTCCTGCTCTCCTTCCTTCCTTTCAAGACCTGTTCTCAGCCTAGGATGTCTCTCTGCTGAAAGGCTGGATTGTCCTGAACTTTGGCCCTTTGCCCCTCTATCTCTGCTACTTTCATTCCCTCTCTTCTAAGCACACTACATCCTCTTTACGAGGCTGTCCCAGACAGCTCAGGAATCTGTGCCTTCGCAGTTGGTGCCTTCTCTCAATGGGGCATTTATAATGGACTCTAGCAGATGCGGAAGCCAAAAACACAGGGTTGTTTTTTGTATTGCACCTCACGACCTCACACTGAGCAGCCTTTATGAAGCCCCTAGTACTGATGGATATTTCAACTCTGCTATAATGAGCTTAAAAATCACAGTCACCATCACTCTACAGTGTGTGCATGGAGGTTACTTTGACACTCGTGCAGGCAGGGTCTCTCGCAGCCCTACTCTGCCCCGACAATGCTCAGGGTGCAGCAAGAGAACGCAGCACCTTCTGCCAGGCTGGCTGGTACCGCGAGCTGCCCACCCCGATCCAGGGAGCGCCTGGCAGCCCATCCCACAGTACAGCTGCTCCGCACAAAGCCACCGCTGCGTTCAGCACAGGGCAGCTTCTAAAAGCATGAGCCGGACAGTGAGAGATAAGTGACGCTAAAAGCCACTAACCACGATCAACCCTGCAACTCAGAGGCTCACTCCTAACCTTGCCCCTACTCCCATCCTCTCCTGCTGGACTCTAACTTACTACTATCCACCTGCAAGGCCCATCACACACCTTCTCAGGGTCTTCACTGGCAGCAAGTGGCTATTTAGCAATCCACTAGGAAAAAAAACCAAAAAGCTTCAGGCCCTGCAGGGCCCTGAGATATACCTTCTCCTAAGATGGACAGTGCAAGTAAAATAGGCACAGATGGGAGGGCGAGAACAGGGGCTTGGCAGGGAGGACGTTCCTCCCGTGATGGTCTTGAGGCTGTTAAGAGATTTACCTGAGTGTACTCGGTGCAGCCAGACAAGTTGGACACAAAGCTGCATACATCCTCCACCGTCCATTTGCTGATGTCTTCCAGCGCAGGGCTTTCCTCACCATCCAGAAACAGACCTCCCATGGTGCCTGGATTGTTTGGAGTTGGGGGGTAGGAAGGAGGGGAGGAGAAAGAAACATAAATCATTAAAATCCCACACGGACAACAACTAGCCTGCAATCTGAATATTTTTCTCTAGCCACACATTCATCTTTAATGACCTGTCAATTAAAGCACTGGGCAGGGTCAATTCATAGGCCTCTTCCTCCTGGAGGTCCCCAGCTTAGAAAGGGGGGTAGGGGAAAAGAAAAATCCTAGCTAATGCATTTCATGTGTTTAATGTTCTTCAGCTGCGGGGAAGAAATGGGGGGAGGGGAGAGAAAAGAAAAAACCCTGAAGGAGTGTTTCTCCACATGCACCGCAAAGCGGAAAACTCTGACTGCCCTGTGGGTTTCTTTCCCCCAACCCTTCTCCTGGCTACGTGCTCCGAATGATAACAGGCTCCAGCACCTCTCCCTGGTGGCCCGCTGCCTTGCCGGAGCGTGAATCACTGGAGAACGTCTCGCTCTTTCAAAGTGTTCATTTTCAATCCACCCCAGCCTGAAATATCCATCGGCTCGCTCTGCCCCAACACAGCCGCCGCCTCAGAATGCACTGCCCTCCGCTCCACCGCGGGAGCCGGGCATCTCTCCTGGCCCAGCGTCTGACGGGTGATGGGATGACCCTGCCAGCCCCCGCGACACTCTGAAGATCGCACAGCTCAGTTCAAGCCAAAGTGTTCATTTTCAATCCACCCCAGCCTGAAATATCCATCGGCTCGCTCTGCCCCAACACAGCCGCCGCCTCAGAATGCACTGCCCTCCGCTCCACCGCGGGAGCCGGGCATCTCTCCTGGCCCAGCGTCTGACGGGTGATGGGATGACCCTGCCAGCCCCCGCGACACTCTGAAGATCGCACAGCTCAGTTCAAGCCGATCTGTCAATTCGTTCAGGTCCCAGCCCTGTCAGCAGAGACGAAGGTGATGGGTTCCAAAAGGGTGGAAGAGAGCCCCCCCACCGCCCTGCGTCGCCAGCGCCTGACAGCACAGGATGTGCACGCAGGGAGAAGACCGGACTGGAGCTGAGAGGAGCTGGAGGAGAGGCACAGAGACTAAGAAATGGCGAGAGAAACGCCAGCCAGGTAACTCGTATCTACTGTGGCGTGTAAAAGAAAAAAAGCAGAAACAAGTAATGAAGAAACCTAGTTCCAGAAAATGCCACTTTGGGAGGGGGAAGAAAAAAAAAGGGGGGAAAAAAAAAAAGGCATTATTAACCTGTGGAACTCACTGCTGCATGATATCATCTAGACCAAGAGATCAAGAGGACATTTACAGGGATGTGAACATCCATGATTATAGTGGGTAGAGAAAGAGTTTATGAGGGGTATAAACTGTTATGCTTCAGGGCATGAAGCAACAAATTACTAGAAAAAATATTTCTCCCAGGGGTCTATCATGACAAAATTATCTGTTCTGTAGGCTTAAGGTTTTTCCCTGAGGCATTTGATCAGCACCATGGACGTAACCCCTTGCTGTGACTCCTCTGCTCCTGTCCACAGCAGGTCGGATAGCACTTCTGCAAGTAATGACAAGATAAAGTGGGATGCAACAAAATCATGGTGGGGAGCACAAGCCCAGAGGACGAGGAGTGGCCGGTTCCCTGGGGGAACGCACCAAGTCAGAGGCAAGAGGCGCAGAAAGAGCAAACAGCAAAGCCACACGCCGAGTCTCCACTAGCGAGTTGGCAAAGCCACCAGCACAGTCCAAGGTTAACAGGAAAAAGGACAGGATTTAGAGGAAGTTATCATACCAATAAGATGCTTTTAAAACAACAGCAGTCTGCACAAGCAGCAGTCAGACGCTATGTAATCATTTCCACTACATTTCCGCTCCCAACTTCCTGCTTCCCTTCCCAGCCCCACCCTCGCACTGTTCCCGGGGCTCCCCCGCCGCTTCCCGCCGCGCCGCCTCCTCTTGGGGAAGGAGAGAGCAATGCCCCGTCTGCAGCCCACACCCCCTGCACAGCGACGGGTACCCGACGTGCAGCCATTATACAAGGACCATCAGCCTCCTGCGGGGAGAGGGCTGCTCACAAACGCCCCTAGCAAACGGGGACAAGTCCGCGTCTCTCCTTACACGCACGGGCCAGTGCAAACAGACGAGTGCCAACTCCAGTGCCAGAACGTCTTGGCTGGAGCTGCGGGGAGAGACAGGAGCCCTCCAAGGCCCGCTGCCTCTGCCAGCTCTACCTGTCCCTCTGGAGTAGGGATGGGGCTGTCCCCCTCTCCCCCCATGCCT